TTTTTTTTTTTTTTTTTTTTTTTTTTGCACTGTTATTTAGCGTGATGATCTGATTTGGTCGTTAGCTGGCAGTTCAGTTCAATTTATTTAAATATTCAATAAAGTTTTGACAACGTCAACTGTTTTTGACTATTCAGTTAGACTAAATACTTAGTGCTTTTAATACAGTTATTATTTTAAGTATTTTCTTTACTGTTTTTTTATGGTTCAAAAACTTAGACTAGAAATACGGTGTCTAAGTTGTTCAAGAAAGTACATTTATTTAACACTCGTTGTACGGTTTAGCTTAGATACTGTAAACGAGACTGTGGTAACTGGCAATTTTAAACCGTTCCTATCACTTTTCGTTCTTAATTTATTGCTCAAGTTATAATTTAGTTTTAAGATAATCGTGCTTTTTAGTTACTTGAGGTTTTTTTCTATGATCTAAAAGACTTGGTGCTTTTAGTTTTCAAATTTTTTTTGGCTTGTTGATTTGAATATTTGGAATGTTCGTGAATATTTGGCTAAGAAAAAAAAGCAATTTTGATTATGACACATTAATGTATTTTCATCCGACTAAAGGTTGCAGATTTAATTGCTGCTGATTACGTATTTGGCGATAAGCTAATTTTTTAAAAAAGATTAAAATTAGCCTTTTTTGCCTCCTTTGCTAGATTAAAAGTGTTTTTACTCAAAAAAGTTAATTAAAACTGTAATAAATTTTTGCAATAAAGCTTTACAACAAAATATTGAAAACAAAAGTTGTTGTTGATTGTCCTTGTCGATTTATCATTTTGTAACTACAATTTGTTCTCACCAGTTTTATCTTCACTTTTTCTTGAAGACATTTCTAAATATTTTTTCTATGTTATAAAATGTTGTGTCAAAGATTTTGATGACGATAGTCTGAAAAGTTTGTTAGGCTTAGACAAAAGTCGAAACTGTCAATGTAATAGATTGCCAAATTTAAAAGCAAATTCAAGAAGGTCAAAAATTTGAAAATTGAAATTTTTCAAATAAATCATTTTGAGTAAAGTAAAGGTTTAAAAAAAAATTGATGACAAAAATTTTTTGAATAAACACAAGTTTTCTTTTTTTGTTTTACATTCAAATGCATTACTTTGGAACAACAGGTTCAAGTGAAGTTTTTTTATCGTTCAAAAAAAATTGAAAGAAGTTGTGCAATTTTGTTTTCAATTGTTTTTTCTCTATTAAATAAAGTTCAAAAAAAAAGTCAGAAAAAACGATCTTTTTAACTACATATTTTTTTCTGTTTCAATAATTTGTGAACATTGAAACTTTTTGAAGAGTAATTTACAAGTCATTAAAATTCTGTTTAGTTATCAGTAACAAAAAAAAGCTTGCTTTTTTTTTGTTCAATTTTTAAATATCAATTTACCAGTGCAAAATCAAATGTATCCGTCCTGACAGAAATTCTTCTAATAATGATATTTATTCAAGAAAACAAAAATGGTAATTGTTGGCTTTCACATCGGAAAGTATTTCAGGAATTCTATTTTAGTGAATAACTGTAACCAGATAGTGATTAGTTGATAAAATAATAAGCACACTGCTGTTGAACTGATATATTTAAATTGATAAGTGAAGAAAGTAAGATAAACGTAGAAAAAAAAAAAAAAAA